AGAACAGGCGAACAAAAAAAAAAAGACATGTATAAGATAACGCAGGGTACAGAGTCGTTGTGTGAAAACATAGGGGGGGGGGGGTCGTACATTTCAGCTTTGGAGGGAGGTCGTTGTTGGGAGAGGGGGGCCGTATGTGGCTTTGACAGAATTTTGTCGCGTTAGGAAAAATTTTTCGAGTTTTCGCGTGATTTTTCCTGTTTCATGTGTAGTATTTACCCTCCCTCCCGCCTCCTCAACGGAGAATCTGCTGAGTGAAGAACTGGAAAATGTTGGGAGCTTGGGAAGGGGGGGGGGGGGGCGGGGGGCTGGGCGGGGGGGGGGGGTGTCGTTACCGAGACCTCATTTAGATGGGAGGGTCGTCGCAAGACTTTCCTAGAGAGGGAGGGACGTGACTGGTATCACCATTTCACACATCACGATGCTACATTCTGATTCAAGACATTGCCTCTTTCTTCAAAAATGCATGACTATTTTTCTAAATGCATGACCATTACTTGAGGGACTATGCTACTTTTTCTCCCTCTCTGCTACAACCAAACGACCTTATCCTCTTCCATCATCCAAGCGAGGTGGAGCTCTACCAGACTTCAAAAACTCTCAACTAGCCGAGGACTACGTCCATCCATTGTTTGTGGATGCGCATTCCCATGAAGGATGAAAGAGACCTGAGACAGTCCTATACCAATAAATCATTTCGGAGAAGTTAAGAGCTCGATTGCTATAACTGGATTCAGTGCTACGGATCATTAAAGGCAGAGCCCACTATTACACATAATTAGCTAAACTCTTCATCTGGGGAGGTAGTGTGTACTGCAGCGAACAACCCTGTATAATATTCACGTCAGAAAGTGGTAAGATAGCGGTGGTAAATCGCAAGGTTGCTCAAGTGAGACTGTGCGCAAGTTGATAGATGTCTTAACTTCGTTCTCCTTCGTTTGCATGCTTTCTCACTGTTTTCTCTGGTTTCGGGCAACGGTTAGGACTCCACGAGGGTCAGCCTGCCGTCGCGACGCGGCAGTTTTTCACGACTAGTGCGCGCGTTTGCATATAGTCCATGAGATTTCCCAACGGTCTGCTTCATTGGTTGCAGGTTGAAAACTATGAAAGGAGTAGGCCCGATATTCAGCTATCAGTATCAAACAACGTTCATTTAAATAGAAATAATATTTACAGATTACATCAGCAATCTACAAAAATTCACTTCAGGGTGAATCCCTCTTTTGCCCTCAATTCCAAGATTGTAAGGGCCTAAGATTTCATATTCAGATTAGATTTTTCATATTCATTATGATGAATACAGCTGCCATTCAAAAATATTGACGTCCCATTGAATATTCTGGTTTGGCAAAATGCCAAGCAGATTTGCGTGATGCCAGAACTATGTGAAGGGACCGGGATCTTAATCGCACGACTGTATGGGTCTCGTCCAATCACGGCAGCAATCGCCGCGCGCGGCGAGGCGAAACATGGCAGCCGTGACCTCTCGTGGAGTCCTAACCTACACCCTCTGGCCTCTCTCCCGATATCCACATTGATTGTTCGCTTTTCGCGTGGCACAAGAAGGGCCTTATTTAAACCCTTCTCGACGATCTCCTTTCCTTTTTTTCTTGAATAAAGGTCAACTAGCACATACTTGCACCCCCTCCCCCCGCCTTACGAACTTCTAATGCCTCATCGCGAACCCTGCCTTTGAGTGACATGGCAATTCCTGTTGTTGCTCCCCTCTCTTCCCAAACGCTCTCTCATGGCCCAATAGAGACAAAAGGGAACGCACTGAAAATAACTTGGCAGATCGATCGAATCTATTGTTCCCAGTTCTGTGAGCTTCAACCCATGCACCTGGCTATTTGCAAAAACGGGACAGCCTCAAGCGATTTCTCTTTTCAAGCTGACGGCACGTTTCGCGCTCATGTCGGCTTCATCTCGGTCTCGCATCTCGAACTCGCAGAGTTTCTCCATGAGTTTCTCGTTCTCCTCTTCCAGCACTTTGCATTTCTGATCGAGAGCTTTCGTACGCAAACGATCTTCTGAAAATGTACAGATTTCAAACAAATTCCTGAACTTATTCCATCTCATTTATTTATCGAAGTTGTTTACTGCCAAACCTGATAAACAATGCTATCATAGCATGTTTCGCGTTTAAAAGGAGCCTTGTCAAGTGCGCCACAGGCCTAATTCTGTTTGTTTTCTTAGAGGCATGTTTGCGAACAACTTGTCTGTAGGGCTAAGGCTACGCCCGCCTTCAAAATGGGCAATTTTGGTGCGGCTCAATCAGCCAATGGCAGGATGGGCAAGTATACGCGAAAATGAAAAAAAAATCGGAACATCTGCTGCGGAGTGTCCTTATATGAACGCCCATGCTTAACGCGGTTTGTGCAGGCCCACTATAGGTAAGGCGTGATGCGCGAGGTCCTAGCCACTTGTTGGTATAGTATTCCCGCTCATCACCTTCACTCCATAAACGGAAATAGAGAGCAGGTTAATTAGTGGAATACCGCAAATTCATTAACGCAATAACGCGCAAGTTGCAAAGCGGAATCTGGACGGGCGCTGCGCGCCCCGGGGGGCAGGGGCGGTGGTTCAGTCGCGAGCGGGCGCCGCTTTCTTCACGTATTTTTTAGCGACGAAAGCAGTACGTCTGGCGCAGTTCGGCGATGGGGGGGGGAGCATTTTGCACTTTCGCTTTCGCATCGGCCCATCTAGCGAGCCTTTTCGTGAGTTGACATGTTTCACCATTGTGGTTTCCAATGAAAGTTGTCCAGGAGTTTCACAGGTTTGACAGGTAAGTAAAGTATGCAAAGCGAAACTAGTGTAGCAATGAAAGTGTAAAATGCGTCCCCGCTCCCGTCGCCGAACTGCGCCGTACATCCTTATGCTTGCTGGCAGGACTACTATATCCGGGAGAATAAAGGCCTGAAGCACAGAGAATTCGGGACGTGCCCTAAAAATCGAAGGGGAGATGAAAAACTGACATCCATTTATTGAATTTTTTTCTGTCTTAAAGGCTATGATAACGAGGTGGGTAGGCATGGCAGCAGGAGGTGCCACACGAGTGGCGAACAGCTGGATCTCGCAGTACACAGATCCGAAAAAAGAAAATGTAGGTCATGGAGTTTCTGATGATTTTTGTGAAATGCCTCCTATTTTCAAAGGTATAGGGCGCATTCAAAATTGGTCACTCACATTGACGAGAACCCCCTCTCCCTTCCCAGGAAAAAAAACTAAGCTTCCGAAGTTGCGGGTTACTCTTTGTGGTGGGTTTTCTTACAGAGCCGAACTCCGAAACACCTGTTTGGTACGGTGAGAAATATTAGTGATTAATTGCATATTGGGTTTTCAGGATGTTTCCACAGTGTACCTACAGAGCTGTGTCAGCCTTCAGTTAAGGCCATGAAAATCAAGAGAAGAATGCACTTTTCAGGGAGAAGTTGTTCACAATCACCAATCAATCATCAATTTTTTTTTCATTTTGTAGACCGAATGCTTGAGAAATGAAGGGAATTTTGAATTGACGGGAAAAATACACTACGAAACCCGTTCCCATGGTGAAAACCGAAGAAAACCTGTTTCAGTTTCCGTTTCTTTGAACACGCCAATTCGCACTAACCGTAAAGTACTTAATTTTTCAAAATTTCAAGTTAGCTTAATGGCACGTTTGACCGGAAAAACTGAAGAGTTCCACCAAATGACGGTTCGTACTGCTTTGGGAAGAAACTATAACATTCCATCTCCGATCTTGAATATGGCCATCATCGTTGGGATTCCCCAACAGGGGGTGGGATCGTATGCGTTGAGAAATTTCTTTTGACGGTTGATTTTTCCTGCTCCACGGACGCTATGAGGAGGGGGGGGGATCGTTGTCTTCTGAGAGAGAGGTTGTTTGACTTTACGTGGTTTTCCCCGTTTCATATGTGCGTACTCATTCCCCCTCTCCGCTCGAGCAGCGAACTCTGGGGGAAGAAGTAGGAAAATTTTGGGGGGAATTTACCGGAAAGCTGGTAGCGATAAGTCGGAAGTCCTAGTTGAATCTGGCGGGGGGCAGGGCAGATATTGTTGTTGGAAATTTCGTCGATCCGTGCCATCCCTACGGACCCTCCCCTGGGGGGGGGGAGCTTATATAGGTGGTCCATCATTCCAACGTTGTGCACGCCCTGCGGCCTTACCCACCGCCCATCCTCATCGCGGTCGATGATGCGAATGAGCACTGATGAAACCGGCCTTCCTTCGAAAACTATTTCGAAATTGAAAGTCCGTGAAAATCAGATCGGAAATGGATTGTTGTAATATCGCGCTTCATCACGTGCACTTTAAACACCCTATCAGCACCACCAACTGAGTGGTTCTTTTCCAGTGACTGCCCGTTCATCGATTTTCCAGGAATCCTGAATCATGCAGGAACTCAATGGCCGTTTATAACTATGTTGTTCAGTAATAGCGTTTTTGAACATGGCGTGTACGGACGAGTTACATCTTTACTTGCAAGGCACTCGTGTCACCAACACCCCCGCCAAAAAACCGGTCATTGCAGCCGCCTCGATCGTCTCTGCTTGTCCTATGGTGCCCGCCTCTTATCATAGCTGTACCAACAAACATCACCTGACCTGTCGTCAGCACATCAAGGTTTTTGATTCCATTTGTAATTAATTTTGCTCATGGAGGTCCGAACCAACTCCTCCGACAGCTCTCCTGATTTCCTCTCGTCTGCTGTTTGGCATGCTTCCTCCTCCAAAGGGGACGGCTCTCAAGCGGGCAAATTTCATTCATATTGGCTTTCCCGTGTCTCACTCATTATAGCTGACAAGTGACTCATTCATTTTCCTGGTCGCTCATATCTACGCACTCACCTCCGTCATCATTTGATCGATTGCCGTCGTTTTCGACCGTTTTTCGGCCGAGGGTTTTATGCGTAATCTGTTCAGCCGGTCGCTGCCTACCGTTCCTCGTCGACGCCCTCCTCCTCGTTGAGCGATTGGGGCTCCGCAGTCCTTTTCATCACAATGACTGCTTCCGATACATCGTCTTGTCCGGACTGCCATTCACGTACTGTACGTTGGCGGAACACTTTGTCCGGCTTGCTTTATGCGATATTCTGTTTTCCATGTGGGATCTATTGCTGTCTTAAACGACGACAACAGCACTGCTCACAGTGCGATTGTGATGTGAGTACTTGTCTCATTCGATCCTTTTACTTTCTCAGAATCCTATTCGGAAATGGGCGCAGTTCGGCTCAGGGGGAAGGGGGGGCATTTCGAATCTTCACTACTTTCTTGTGCTGTACCATGTTCTTGTAGAGTGCTTGTCAAGTGTAAAGGGAATCCCATGCTAATCGGCATAGTTTTCAGCTGGAATTCGCAGATCTCACAAGGTGCTCATCAGCATTGATGGCAACGCAAGCAGGATGTTCCCCACAAAGCAAGAAACTCTGCCTGAAATATTTGTACGGGGTCTCAACGCTGACGAATCATGAACGGCGTAACGGCGTGAAGTGTGTCCTTTTGCGGCCGTAATTGTGGTAATTCCACGTATTGTGCACTGTAAACACCACTCCGCTATGCTGTTCCATACATAACATGGCTGGTTGTGGGGGAAAAAAGAAGATACTCTCACTACGCTGACCAAAAATCAAAAACCACCGAATTTTTTTCAGAAGTAGGCAATTTCTGCGACACGCCTGGTTCCAAGGGTGTCTGAGAGAAAAATTCCAATTCACCTAGTTCTCTTCCGCCCATTAATCCATTCAATTTGGAATGGATCGGAAGAAGAATGGGGGCGCGACCTTCCTGGAATTCCATCCTAAATTCCGCCGTGGTGGGCGAGCTCATACAACCAGTACTTTCTTGTGAGAACAGTTGTAGAAACCATTCGAAATTCACACCACCCTCGAGATTACCTACTTCCGCCCAGAAACCGGTTCTCTTTCCTTTTTCCCTGTGATGGCATTGCATTTTTTTCTTTACCTTAAACGAGAAGATAAAATCAAAGGCGTGGCATCCTGAACGAGGTTGAAAACTTGTGGGTTCATTCCTAGACCCAAGATGGGCTACCTATAACTGCTTTCATCATGTAGAGGATTAAATCAGGGAAAGACCCATAATATCCACGAGAGGATGCTTTACTCTCTGGTGGGTGGGTGATGTCCTTATCATTCGGTTGGGGTCAGGTCAGTTTATCGATCTGGAATCCACCCCGTAGGGTTGGATCGGACTCGTCTTACGTTGGACATCCCCAGCGAGTGTTTTGTACTGAGTAATTGGAATACTTTAGGAAGATAATAGGTAAGGAAAGGCAGGGGGGAGTGGAAAAGCCGGTCGTTCTAGAGGAAGAACTTCTGAGAGAAGCCGTATTTTCGCCGCAGGACGTACTTGGTCGTCACTAGCCTCCCAGCAGAAAGGGTACTCTCAGAATCCTTTACCGTGGGCAAAAATTAGCCGATTCAAAGCTCGGAGTATGTATTTCCTAGGCGATGGGTAGACACCTACCGGGTTACCGTTCGGAATTCTAGGACACAACTCCCAACACATTCCATACCGTCTCGTTTTCCAATGCCTTGTCATCTTTTGATGGGCCTTTTCCATGGGAGTTTGTTATCGGGAGAGATTGAATCAACAAGCCGTTTTTGCCCCCCTTCTGTCATCACCATCTGACTCAGTAACTAAATAGTTGCATGTTAGCTCAATATTTACATCTCACGATAGTCTGTACAATAGGAATTCAATGATGCCCCTCTTCCTATTATAACATGATGAAGATGAATCTTCCCCATTCAGGTAATCAAGTGCTCTCGTGGGGCGGCAGTGACCTCCCTCGGCTACTCTTACCGTGGATACGACACGATGGAGAAAAGGAATACCGGCATCATTGGCCGTCGCCTACAGAAATACCGCCTATACGGGCAGTTCCCATTCTTCGACCGGAATTCCTGAAGCTTCCTGCAATTCGAGAACCGACCTTGTTACTGTGTAACTTCCATTACTTTTAATTCTATGCTTGATCAGTTTTTCAGAAATTACCGGTGCCAGTTATCAGGTGCCGATTGCGGCGATTATTCATTGTCCGTTTTCATTGTCATTCGCTTCTCTTACCAATGACCGATGTTTTTATTTTACGGGTTGATTCATAAATGCTTGCTTTCACATTTTTTTCGGATTTTTCAATCAGTGCCAGGCTAGGTGTTTTCGGGAGCTCCAGAGCGATAATTTTTGCTAGAACTACAGGACTGGAGGTCGAACGTGAACACATTGACTAGAATGTCCTAAGTTCTGCAGAGAACAGAAAGCAGCCGCTGTTCTTCTTGCCTGCTCTCTGCCGACTCATGTTCGGAATACTTTTTCTGGCATTAATTTAGCCCCTTTGGTTCATCCTTTCAAGGGACTAGAGCGCTTGAAGAGCCGATGTAGCAGGCAGCTTTCTGCCGTTGGGAATAAATTTTTGCGCAACTATGCTTCTCCCCCTCCTCCAGAAAACCTCCTTCTGGTATGGTCCACAATCTCCATCCTACCCACTACCTTCCTAAATGTTCCCAACTTCGATCACTTTTCCACAGCTTTTTTCAGTTCTAAAAATCGAAAACTGCGTTGAGCGCAAGGCGGGGTGGGGTCATAAAGCGCACTTGAGACAGGAGGAACTAACTGAAATAATAGACAATCTTTTTGAAGGACAATCACGAAATCCCCCTCTGCAGCAGCCAAATACGACCTCCTCCCCATCTGGGTATTAAAGGCACGTTCCGCGATAAACTAAGGCTAGGTTCTCATAACCGTGCACGATGGTCAAGCAGGCAACGTCAGAGGCTATGCTGCTTTTAAAAGTTGAAAAACAGCAAGCAAAACGCAGGGCGCTCAGGTTTTAGGCCCATTGGCGCCCGATAGGCCCATGCCGGCCTCCAGTGACCGTGTCGTTGTGAGACTGCCATTGCGCTCTCTCGCCCGTCGTTTTCTGGCCTCTCTCGTCTCTTATCAGTGTATCGCCGCCTTTCGCAATTCACAATTGATCTTGACCACCTTACGCTCGTCCGGTGATCATGATCAATTGAAATAAAGAGGGTCTTATTGCGGGCGCTTTTTCGTGGTTCCTTCCCTTCAATAAGTCAACAACCACAGCAGTTTTCTTAGTTTTTGAACGCGTATTAGCCTATGAGCTTGTGGTCCGAGGGACTATTGCCTTTAAGTGGCCCACCTCACCACTAGATCCCACACGTTTGTGGATAGATCCCTGATTGGTAGTTTAGTTTCGAGCTTGTAGGTTGAGAACCTTCTAAAATTGTATTTGCGAGCAAGTGAAATGACAAAAGCTGTATGGTTTAATTGTATGTTTTTAAAGCGGTCACAACAAAGATAGCACGGGAAGTGCAAAAAAGTGCACTGATAAGGCATTTTTTGCACATTTTGAATACTTCAGATAAGGTTTTTTGTTTCCATATCATTTCTTGGATCATCCATTCTTAAGTAAGAAAAAATAGGTCATTTGTCTCGAAAGGTCGCAACTATCCTTTACTATGGGCACTGCCTTCGTAGTTGGGGCTATTAATCATTTATTGTCCCCCCCTTCCAAAATTAGTTCATTTTTGTCCGCCATCTTTCTCCGATGATAGATTTGGCTGAAACTTTTCTCAAGGGTAGTTTGACCCCTAAACACTAGCATCACAACTGTTTGGCACTGAACGCTCGACGTCCACCTCATAGCATCATATGCACGTTTCGACTCCGGCCTCTTGTAGCAGGAACACCAACGGTTCGTGCCTAAGCAAGTGTGGCCAGGGCACTTAGGGGACAGGGCGAGAAAAGGGCACGCCCTTCAATGTTTGCCTGAGATAGTGATCCATGCCCCTTTGCTAAGGCTCAGTCTGTAAGAGTTTGGCACGATAATCCCCCGCCAAGGCGACTAGACTCAAAACTCCTGCAGGATAGAAGTCCAGCGAACCTGGCAGGCCAGCTGCATAAGCGGTATTCAGCGAGAGGTGATTCTTACGAGGCCCTTCCACCGCCGCACGCCACAATGGACGACGTTCCTGAAGCTCGTATTCATTCATTTGGCTAACAAATTAATGAAGCGAAGCGATTGTATGTAAGCGCGCTGATGCTACAATGCATACATGGTACACATATGCAGCCGTATCTTCGGTAGCGGTGATTGGTAAGATGCCTACGGGAAACTCGTCCGAAATCGATTTACAAGTCACTGAGAACGGAGGCTTTTTCTTCGCCGGATTTTGACCGTTTCACTCCGTTCTTTCGCCATTTTCCCACTATACAGCGCCCTACTAGCATTTTAGGCTAAGTAGGAAACATCGTGCCAACTGCCTTTAACAGCGGAATGGATCACTATCTTGGAAAGCAAAAGGCAGAACGATGACAGCAAATCAGGTTGCGCTGTCATGTGTACCCCTTCCACATTACCCCACGCTTGACATCCTTGGCACTCCATGCGGTTGATAATCTTCGTCAGTGGCGGCGGCGCGGTAACAAAGCGGTTTGCGTGCCAGCATGATACGAAATTGGTGTTAGGGGAGCAGCGAACTTGGACGTAATCATTTTCAGCTGAATCGAAAGTTGTGACCGCAAAACTCTGCTGGCGTAAAGTAATAATAGCGAGGCATGTCACCTGTCTCTGCGTTAGAAAGGCAACCAGCACTCCCCTCCCACAGTTTCGCGACATTTCAAGCTCTGGCTTCACTGGCCCCGAAATGGACATATCGCTGTATATACCTCGGCGTTCAAGGCTACAAAGAAAGTCAAGAAACCACATTAACACTTCTTATCAAAAACCGTCACGCCGCTGACGAGAGGTAAATAACACGCTCCTCGTTCCCCCTCAGTCCTTCCTCTAGTACAGCACCTAGATCTACTCCATTCTACTTGAAGATGGGCTTCTACCTACTGACCTTCAAATATTCCCAGGCTGAGCGCTTGCCCACAGCGGATGATATGCCGCCCAGGAAACTGTTAGAAATGCCTCTTTTCTTCCCCCCTTCCCCTTGATCATTTTTTTCCATGTTAATGTAGACCAGTCTGAGCGAATCAAATACGACCGCCGCTTGCAGAGAGGGTTCCTTGAACAATAATGTATCCCGCTTCCTGTTCTTAATGGCATCGGCAATCTTGAGACTGGTTGCAGAAATGCAGCAATATGTATGTATGTATTCGTGATTGGTAGACTTTGATGACTTCGCATGATGTTCCGGAACAAATAACCCCGAAGCTGAATTTACACAGGCCGTTCGGCACCACTGTCGTCATGGGCAAGCTATTGACGCAGGGAATTTTCAGTGCCGGAACCTTGCGGATGCATTTTACCAAAAAATAGCTGCAAAGGACTACCTGCAGAGCATTTTTAGAGAAATCTCTGTGCTTCAGCAGATTTTCACAACATCTTTCCTTAAGTGTGGTTTGAGCAAATTCACGAAAGCTCACTCACCGGTGGATCGCCTATTGATTTGCTCTTTCTCCTTCTCAAGTGCTCTTAGCTTCGTCTCGAATGCTTTCGATCGCAACAAGGAGCGATGATCGATCTAAAATTCAGTCTTGGTCATAAAAGCATTGCTTGAGTGCTCCATCCATTTACTCCGATAAAAGCTCTAGATGCCTTTCGAGACCCTCGAAGCTGAGAATAGGCAAGCGCCAAAGTAGGAGGACATTTAGCAAATGGCTATTAGGTTGTCCGGAAAGTTCTCAGCGTTTTGTGCACCTATTTTTGTACATTCACTGCTGATTAAAAACTCATTCTGCCTTGCTTCTCAGTAGCACATCTGTAGAGAATTTTCTGTGCTTATGTTGATGAATAACTGCGTTTCACCATTGCTTGAACTGAAGCCCCTTTTCACCAAAGAACATTGTTGAAGCATGCTGCAAAAGAGCAACTTCAGACGATATTTTCTTACACTACAAATTGGGTCAAAACAGGGGGCTGTGATTGGTGAATCCGCAGTCGAGACAGCTCGACAAAATTAACCAGGTGGGGGCCCACTAGTGTTGGAGAAAGCACCGTGCGACAATGAATGGACAAATTTCGTTCTGGAGATTTTCAGCCTTGAAGACGAATCTCGTAGCGCGGTCGACCTAAAGCAATACCTGACGAAGATTTGAAGGCATTTGTGGAGGTGACCCATCCCAAACAGTTCGAGAGATTGCAGAAAAGCTAGGTTTGGCAAATCCACTGTTGCGGATGGTCTGAAACGCATTGGGAAGGTGAAAAAACTCGATAAGTGGGTGCCCCACAATTTGAGTGACCGGCAGAAATTGGCACGTCTCGAGGTTTCTCTTCACTTTTTGCGCAACAGAGACGACCCGTTTTTGAGCCGAATTGTCACCTGTGATGAAAAGTGGATCATTTCTGATAACAGGAGCCGTTCCGGACAGTGGTTGGATGCCGACGAACCACCGAGGCAATTTCCAAAGCCGAATCCTCACGAAAAAAAGATTATGGTCACGGTGTGGTGGTCATCGGCTGGTGTGATCCACTATAACTTTTTGTCACGTGTGGTTTTGTCATCACAGCAGAGTCCTACTGTGAAGAAATTGACGAAATGTGCTGAAAATTGCGTCAGCTGCAGCCAGCACTTGTCAACAGAAAGGGTCCGATTCTTTTGCATGACAACGCCCGCCCACACGTTTCACAAATCACTATCCATAAATTGAACGAATTGGGGTTGGAAGTTCTACCTCACCCACCATAATTCTCAGCAGACATTTCACTACGCGACTATCACCTTTCAACACTTCTAAGAACTCTTGCTGGAAATATTCAGGCAAAAAAGCCTTCGTAGATTTCGTGAATTCTCGACCACCCAGTTTTTTCTTTGATGGGATTTCTCGACTGCTGTCACATTGGCAAAAGTGTGCTGATTCGAACGGTGCTTATTTCGATGAGTATTAAGAAAGTTATGATCGTTTAAAGTGAAACACTCAAAACGCTGAGAACTTTCCGG